TTGTAGCCTAGGGGCTTGAGTTTTCTGTTGTTTGTTATTACACCGGAGGACCGGGTGAGGCTATAAGGGGTTGGAGCAGGCCTCATAGGAGTGTCCCAGCAGCGTGGGGGTTCCTGGTGCCCGAGAGGGCCCAGCAGTCTGGATCTAGGGCCAGGTAAGGCCGTGGCCGCCTGAGCCAGATAGGGATCATAGACCCAAGAAGGGAGTCTGGGGGCCAGGCATGGCTAAGGCCACCTGAGCCCCAATTGCAAGGAGCACCAGTGTGGGCACCGGCAAGAAGCCCAGAGGGTGCAAGTGTTATGCCCCAGGCTGGACACACAAGAATAGAAGCCCCGGAGAGGGCGAGCGCACCGAGGCGAGCCCCGGAGGACGTCCGCAAGGGCGTGGGCAATAGTAATTTGACTCAACAACGTCCAGTACATCTGAGAGGTTTGGGGTGTGGTATAAGGGATGGTAGGAGCTACGCACAGCCCATAAGGCTGGGGGCACCAAATCAATCTACACGGAACAGGGGCCAGGATAAATAATAGCACCGTGTCCAAGGGACAAAAGGCAGCCTCCCTTATAATATTTTTGTCATCAAAGATGTGGCGGGCGAGAACGAGGGTGCTTGATAGACAACTTGGCACGGTAGGGGGCGCCAGGAGAGATCACGGCCGCTCCTGGGTCCCCGCCCTGTGACAGTTACAAATAGACAGGAGTTTCTGAGGCTGGTGTCACCCATATCAGAAACCTCCTGAGCTACGATAGGCAGGAGTGGGTGGACCCGGCTGCATGGGTCTACCCATGACACATGCAACCTGCCATCTGGTCCAGGAGCTGAAATCTGCCCTACCTCCCGACACCTTTGGATTTCTTTGAGGACCGGTGGGTGCAGCCTGGGGGCCTCTGCAGCCTCTGGAGGCTGGTGACGAGCAAGAGAATGAGCAGGAGGGTGGAGACAGCAGGGGAAGTCTCCAGCTCATCTCCAGGGGCTTGTCTCCAGCCTCCTGCTCATCTCCAGCCTCCTGTTTGCTCTCCTACTTGTTTCCAGCCCCCTGCTCCTTCTCCTGCTTGTCTCCAGCCTTGGGAGGAACAAACTGGGATGGGGGAATGAATGGGGGGCTGTGGGAATGAGTGGGGATGAGAAGAACAAATGGGGGTGGGGGGAATGTGTGGCAGAATGCCCTGTCCGTCTCTCCCCAAACTCTGCCATGAGGTAGATGTCTAATCTGACAATTTGGTTACCATGGTCACTGCAGAGGGCAGACAGCCCTGGTCCCATCAGCTTCAGGTAACCCTGAGTTGTAACTTGAGCTGGATACATTCCAGAGGGTGGGGGAAACCTGCTCCCTGTGCCTATGTGACTGGCCTCACACACCTGGATGGGGGCTTAAACTCCGTATTGTTCTAAGCAATGTTATCATGACTGGGAGAGGGGTAGAGAGCCTGCCAGTCTACCCGACAACCAGTGATGCATTTCAAATTGGTTAGCTGGCAGCCAACACCTGCTGGCCTTCATTGGATCAGGTAAATGAGGTCATAAGGTCTATATAAGTTAAGGACTGCCCAAGAGGTGGGGCAGCAGCTATGATGAGAACTCTCAGAGAAGCTGGACCATCTGAAACACGCTCTCTCTCTTGAAACTCATGTTCAATGAACTGCTTGCCTCTAGAGGAAATCTCCACCTGCCTCTAGATGATACTTGTGAGTAAGCTACTTGAGATCTAACTAGATATATAGCTTGACGTAACTCAGATGTGTAATCAAAAGCTACCACCCCACTGTTTACTCTAAGGTATTTCTCTGATATTGTTCTACCCTGTACCCTATTCCAGACCTACTCCTTGTAACCAATAAAAGTTCTCCTCTGTAACTAGCATGGAAGACTTAATGGGAAAGGGTCTCGATTATGCCTTGGGGTTCACTTGATTCAGGTGACTAAAGAAGTTCTTTTGTTCCCACATGTGCCTCTTGCAGCATCACAAAGGAATTTGAGACGCTGCAAAAGGCACGTATGCGTTCGCCTGGATGCGCCCCATGGGGTGCTTAACTGAATCTTTTGGTATTTGTATCTTTGAAAAACAAGATTGGAATGTTTCTGTGCCTCACTTCCCCACATGTACAACGGAGATTATAATATTTTCCTACTCCAAAGTTAGTTGTGTGGATAAAATCATTAATAAGAGTGATTCTCAGACATGAGTGTTAATAGGATCATATAAGAGAGTAATTCAAAGTGATAGAGAATTTGAGACAGAAAAAAACTGGCAAGTGCAATCAAAAGTAAATTTATCAAGATACATTACTTAAAAATTAATTTGTTTTGAAGGATGTCCAAAAAAAACAATGACTTGTCACCGAACCAATCTGATTTCTCTTGAAGTGGTTTCAAATTTTCCCTTTATTGTAAGCTCCCCTTAAATTTATAGCTTTAAAAGGTGTTCACCTCAGCTGGTATTAATTAAAATTCTGAAGAAAACTGAAACCTTGAAAAGAGCACAAATTATAAAAACAAAGGCAGAGACCTGGCTTTCCCAAATGTCATAACTAAAAGTAATCACTTCCAAACAGAAACACCTCATTTTGTGATTGTGCAATAAAACAAATTCTGAAGGAAGAAAATGTACTTTGACTTTTGACTCTGGCTCTAATGCAATGTATTAGGGTTCAAAGATGACAAAGCTTTATTTAATAAGTTGCACAATTAAAAGCTTATCAGCTGTCACAGTGGCTATATGACAGGCTGTTGCAAAATCCAAAGTGTTAGTCAAAAGCCACAAGCATCATATTTATCCTGCCATGGAGAAGATATCTGAGATTAAGGGGTGCTATAGTTCAATGGGAGAATATTATTCCATAAATCATCTATCTGCCCATCATGATTCAAAATACTCATACACACCCTTATCACAAATCAGCTGTAGGACAATTTGTGCCTTCTGTCTCTTCTCTTTTCAGTTCTACCCCTGATTTCCAGGGTTGCCACAGCAAAAATAGAAATGGCCCAAATTTGAGCTGCTGCTTTTTTGCAGCTGCACATGCCCCTGCACATAGGATTGGTATGAAGCAAATTGTCCTGGGTGGGTAGGGGAGGCTGGGGCCAGCACCTGTGCTGGCCCCAGCAGCCTTACCTGGAGTCCTGGGGGCATTCCACGGCAGCAACAGTGCTGATCCAGCCACTCAGTTTCTGGCCAGCAGCCAGAGTGTGGTTCTGGCTGACCAAGCTCCATTTGTGGTGGCACATGCTGTGCCATGTGTACCACGCCACTTTCTGAAGCAGTTTTTTGGGGGTGGGTGTGAGGGAGTGAAGAGGTGGGCCGGATCTGAGGCTTCCCACCCCGGTGCAGCAGCGCTAAACTCCCTCCCATATGCCAGAACGCGAGGCAACCCCTTACCGTCTACAGGTGTGGGGAAGGAGGCGTGGCCCGGACGGCAAGGACCAACGTAAGAAGGATGCCGGCATCGGGAAGGGCAGAGGTGGAGCCGGAAGGTAGCCGGGCGGCAGCAGCGACAAGAGGGAGCACCGGCAAGCAGAGCAGAGCAGTCCAGAGGCACTGCCGGACCTGGTGGGGTAAGGCGAAGCCCCCGCAGGGCGGGGAAGCTGGGTCGACGGGTCCCAGCGAAGACCCGGGCTGTACGACGCGGCTGAGAACGGCTGGACCCGGCAGGAGCCGGGAGCCGTATAGATTGTAGTAGAGGGGCACTCTCTACAGAAGAGGAGGCTGGCCGGTGTTTAGGAGGACTGAAAGTTGGCAGGAAGCCAGGGAAAGGACTGAGGGGCCCTGAGAGGGTTCTAGTGAAGAGTGCTTGAGCACTTCACAGCCGGGGTAATATCAAGGGGCACAGAGGGCAGGGTAGCCCATTGCTCCAAATAACCCCTGGCTGGGGAAATTGGTTGTATAGAACAGACATCTCCTAGTGGACAGGGAGCGACTTACTGACGGGTCACCTAACCCAAGAAACGACCAACCCGGTGGTCCGGGCGAGGGTGTAGGGGTGGCGGAGCCCTCACTGACTTGCAACCCCAAGAGTCCCAGGGTCTCACTTTTGGACTGACACGCGCCGGAGTAAGATCACTGAACCGGAATAACATCAAAGTCGTGGCAGGAGTATCAGGCACGTACAGGCCAAGGGGAGCGACTCGTAGTGACTGGAAAAGCTTTGGTTGAGACGTGTGAAGAGGCGGGTACGGCGCCGGACGCGCACCGCCTGCACAGCGGGTTTTGTCACTGGGATCTACCAGTGCCAAACATGTAGCGCAGCAAATGGGTACACGTGCACTGCATGTAATTTTAGGTGCCACAAACTGCATGTACATGCTCGTCTGGACACACCCTTAGTGGATAAAACAGAATACCCTGTACTTTCATGAAGCCTTGCAGCTAAGGATTTTATTGTATAAAGTAGCTGCCTTTCAGTTACTTGTTGGGGACTGGGGTGGTGTGGGCACTAAGGTGCACAGTTGACAGCCTAGAGGTTGCAAGTTGGAAGCCAATGCAGAAGTGTTTACAGTGCAGCCTGTAGCTTCCAACAAATTTGTGAATTCTGCTAAATACTTTGTCACAAGGACATGAAGAAAAAGGTTACTTGCCTGGACACATTGTTCTATTATATAACTGCCATCTGTGGAAAAGTGTTGTTACTATTTAATCAGAGTAATAAATATAATAATCTTTCAGTAGACAGGAACTAAATATTACTTTAAAAATGGAAGGTGGTTTCCAAAAGGCTCAAGCATTTATTAAATATGACCCCATAATGTTAAAATGTGAGAAAAATCCACACCACAGAAATATGACCAAAGGAAATCTTGCACTGTGTTTATACTGGGCCAAAACAGGGAGTTTCAGTTTTCAAGTATGGTAATCTGTAATCTCCTGTAATCCCTCAATACACTTGAAATAATTAAAAAAATTGAATGGTGTTGATGACCCAGTCACACAGAGCTGGAAATGCAGAAAGCTGATACAGAACCTGGGCTGATACCAAACAAAATGTCAAGGTCACTATCAACTTACCTTTTCTATTGTGGTTGTATTGTCTTGGCTTGTATTCTGGAAGCCTTGAACAATGCCAGAAATGCAGAGTGGTCCAGCAAAACCCAACAGATCAGCCAAGTAACGGAATGTGCTACTGAGAAGGATTGGTCGTCCAAAAGCCCTGTACATTGCTAACCATATAGAAGGATTCCTATTCGGCTGGTTTGCCACCTTTTTCTGGAAATCAAAGGAATGGGAATTAGTGCATCCAGAATTAATTTCTCATTGGCAGGCTATAGCAACTACTGTTCCATTACTTTCATATTTTGTTGAATGCCCAAGAGCTTCATGAGGTGGTTTTTAATTAGTTGACATAGACAAACAAGATATACAGGTTGACAAAAATAATCTTCACCACAATGAATTCAACTACACCCCAAAACCACTGCTCTTGCTTTTTGTGGATTCTCATTTCAATGCTATTATGAGTTCAGAAACAGTGTAATGCAACTATAGACTATTTACAAACAGGTGTTGATCACTGTCACTTGTACAGCTCATAAATGACTTAATCTAACAAACCCTGGCTCATGTAAGACATCTTTACTTTCACAAGTCGTCCCACTAGGTCTCAATGGAACTGTTTCTGTGAGTTGTTCTGAGTATCTCTTTGTTGCTCTTTGTTGTGGAGATCAGGTAGGATTCCTTCTGTGGAATTTCTAAACCGAGAGTTCTAGATTTTTGCATTTATTTTTGTCTCAGACCAACACAGCTACCAAATACATCCCTGAAACATGGTAGATGCTGAATTTTAGCTGATTTTGAACTTTAAACTTCATTGCAGAAAAACAAGAAAGATTTTTAAACCTCCCTCCTTGCCAATCCTACCTGATCTACACAACAAAGAGCAACTCAGAACAGCTCACAGACTCTTATGGACCCAGAGGGACAGATTTTCCATCACCAGCTCCATCTTCGCAAAAATGAAGTTAATTTCCTACCTATGGGGACTTTTTACCATCTTTAATTTTCCCAGAACCTGATAAAGGGCATCTGAGCCCAAAGCTTGCAAAAAAAGTTGGTTTTTTTTTTTTTTTTTTTGCAATGTCCTAGTTCAGGGGGAGGCAAAATGCAGCCTGTGGGCCACATGTGGCCCACCAGGCCATTCTGTCCGGCCTGCGGAGCCTCTAAAAAATTTAGAAAATCAATATTTATCCGCCCCTAGCTGCCTGTCATGCAGCCCTTGATGGCCTGCCAAAACTCAGTAAGCGGCCCTCCGCCCAAAATAATTGCCCGTCTCTGTCCTAGTTGGTCTAATAAAGGGTATAATTTCTGAACCAAGAGTTCTAGATTTTGGCACATCTTTCACTATGAGATGCGATTAAACATTATTCTGGTAATGAATTCAAATTCAGACTGAACGCTTATCTGGAGGACCTGCTTTAGGCAAACACAAGTTACTGGCCCAGTGCTATGGCAACTTGGAGAAATGTAATGAGATGTGACCTATTAAGGTCTGTTCTTGCCTTAAATTCTATGAAATTGTGAAATTCAGAACCTCTGCTCTGTAGCCCCAATCTGTCATACACATCCATGTGACTGATCTGAAACTTAATAACAGCTGTGAATGCCTTTTAATTCCCACTAGCACAGGTGACTGGTAGGGGGTGCACAGGAGTGCACGTGCCCCCCCGACGGGGCCAGTGGTACCCCTGACATCTGACACCGACACTTTTGGCAGGGCTGGTGCCCTCCCTGACAGGGCCACCACTATCAGTGGCTTCTGCAGGTGCACCCCAGATTCAGGAGGCACTAGTCACTCATGCCCACTAGGAACAGTTTCATTCAGTGGATGTGTAGTCTGAAGAGCATATCTGTGAGCTCCAGGCAGATGTTGTAACACACTAAAAATGCATCTGTCATTTTTCAGGCTGCACAGAGGCCTGCAAGTTGTAACTCAGGCCAGGCCTTTTTGAGTGTTCACAGAAAAACATATAACTAGTTAAAAGAAAACCCTAAAAGCACATATCTCTCTCTACCCCAGCTTCCTGCTTCAGATCTTGATTATTTTTCCACATTCTTCTTCAGTCCAAATTCAACATTGATATAATATCAGGATAATGTTGAAAAAGGATGCATATAAACATCCAACAATGCAGAACCTAGCAGTACAGTGGCCTGGAAAAATTAGTGCAGGAAGCACTTGTAGTGACTGAAGAGATTCAACACAGATACTTATGGTGCATTAGCCAAGCAGTTTGCTCGTTATATTTATGCTTTCTCTTGCTAACAATTACACTTCTGACAGGGAACAGACTGCCCCTGTGGCAGGGAAGTTGTGGGGGATTAATACATATGATATTTTTAAAGACATTTAGGTACCTTAAGACACAAAGAGGTACCTAGTGTGATTTTAAGAAAATATCTATGCCCTTAAATCTTACTAAAGCCAATGCGATCCAGTTACAAAGTCCTAGATCCTCAAAGGTACTCTTATTAAATCCTATTAAAATCATGTCACCCATGTGAAATATGCTTCTTCAGGAAGTGCTATATGTTCGCATGCTCTAATGTTCACTCTGGCCATAATTCAAATCAAATGAGTGGGGACTTTTGAAGATCTGGGTCTGGACACTTGATTGCCTCCTCTCTGCATTCTTAAATGTCAAAATACCTTTAAAAATCTGACCCCAGGAGGCTTGGAGGAGAGATTTGTAAGATCAGCTGTCTGAGACTGAAACTTTTTCCTCAACAGAGTGCAGTGAGAGGCCTAGGTATTCCCTGAATTACATTTAAGGGTTCAAAACACATCTTTGTGGTGCACAAGTCTTGGTCTGGACCCCTGTCTCGGGGCTATCATCCTATCTTAGAGATGCAATCCACACTGTAAAGGCCTTAGAGAATCACGCCTTGATTTTAATCAAGATTATCAGGAAAGCATAGAAATACTACCACTTTATATTCAGGACATTAAAATTAGTTGTTAACTTTTGCTATTTTTCCTATTATTTACTTGTTACCATATCAGTAGTCACTTCCAATATTCCTACAGAATTTATAAGAATGTCACTGCAGCTGAAAATTCATTCATTTTTCAGCAGGCTCTATCCCTGCATTATGTCAAATTAACATCCCCAAGAAAAATGCTGCATTGTTTCCCTTTTCTTTGTCCAGTCTAAACATTTTAAAGTGAATTAAAAGACAAAGAACACCCTTCTTGGATTTATTTCTTCCTCTGCTTTGTTCCTCTACTAATGGACATTAAAATGTAGCCTGAGTCACTGCTTTGGTTTTGCCATTCAAAAGAGTAACTCAGCTGGTTTTAATCTGTGTCTTGAACAAAGAGAATAGCAGTAATGCCTCATGTGATCTAACTCAAATGCACTTTATGTGGAACATTTTTAGCCTCACGGTCAATGTCTTTCATCAAGGTGTGATAAAAAGCCTCATAAAGCAACAATTTTTTTCTTTCTCCACTGATATAGAATGCAGTCAAGATCCTAACCAGTCAGGGTCAGCCTAATTTAATCCATTAGATTTTGAGGGCTTTTTTCACTGACTGGGAAAGATTAATAGCCAATTTCACCCACTAAAATATACAAAAGCTGCATAAACAATTACATAGTATCTCTTCCAGATCACAAGCTTGAAGACATTTCCTAGTTTTGCTGCTGTTTTCTAGCAAGTCTCTAGAAATAGGCTTGCTGTCTTTCAACAGCAAGACTAAAATATTTCTTCTGTGGGAGAGAAGCTCCAGTAAACTCCATTGCCACTTACTTTGGCCTGGACAACATCACCTGGATTTACTTTAACATTATCCATCAAATATCAGCCTTTTTTTAAAGCACAGAAGCACTGGTTAAAGACTGCCTCAGAATATTAATGTAATGGTGTTAGACGTAGAGTTTAAGCAATTCTGGAAGCCAATAAGAAGAAAAGCTTTGTGCAATAAGTCATATTTAAAATTAGGAGTGTGTAACTTTGTATATACCTCTACAAATTCTTGCTTCTTGTATAAAAACCTGCGTATTTAGGTACTTGTGATTGTATGCGCTCAGAACCTAAGACAGTGAACAGAAAACCGAGCACCCAAATACCTTATTTATGCATACTAATCAAGTAAATGCACACATAAATCAGCCACATACAAATATATGCTCAGCTCTGCATGTCTAACATTAAAAATCTGGCACAAAGGCCCATATCCCCAAGGTTTATAGGTGACTAAAAGAGAGAGGCAGTGAAATAATTTTAAGGATCTGGGGCTAGAGAACAAATTTCTCTACTGATGTAACTAGACACAGCTCTGCTAATTCAATACAATTTTTTACATTTAAACCATGAGAGAAGCCATCTGTATAGCTCATGATAGGTAAAATCATGAATGATGCATGCCTCCAACGACTGGGGGGGCACAGCAGAGGCAGGAATGCGGCGGTGGTGGCAGAAACACAGTGGCAGTAAGCAGGTGAGCTCCCACAGACGCTGCCGGCGCTGCTGGCAGGGGTGGGGAGGAGAAGGGGGGGTGATTGCTGCCATGGTGTCGGTGGTGGGGTGGCAAGCAGTGACTACATGCAGGTGCCACCGACATGCATCCACGTGCACCCCCTATGCGTCGCCCCCTGGATAAAATACAGCTTGCAAATTGTTAAGGAAAAGCAGCTTCAAATACCATTTTACTTAAATACAAGACAAGGTTTTTTCTCCCAATCAGCCTGAGGGAAAAAGCCCATCAAAATCTTATAATCACGTTCAAGAACACATAATTAAATACACTATCTATTATTTAACTGCTGCCAAAAGCAGCATGTGCTCAGTAATGGAAACCAACTATGAAGTTGACTAAATACAGCCAACATTGAGTATGACTATAAAACACATAGCCCATATTGGGCAAGCATGCTGATAAGAACCATTTCCTTTTTTTAGCCCTTAAAAATGTATGGGTGTTCATTGATTCATAGATTGTTAGGGGCTGGAAGGGACCTTGCAGATCATTGGGTCCAGCCCCCCTGCTCTAGGCAGGAAGGCAACTGGGTTTAGGTGACCCCAGTGACGTTACTGTCTAGTCTCCTCTTGAAAAGCTCCAGGGTAGGTGACTGAACCACCTCTGGAGGTAGTTTTTTCCACAGTCTGGACACCGTGACTATGAAGGAGTTTTTCCTGGTATTAAGCCTGAAGCAGCCTTCCAGGAGTTTGTAGCCATTGGTCCTGGTCTTCCCCAAGGGTTGTAACAT